ATGCTCACTACGGCTGCTAACATGTGAATACCACCAACACTGTGACCTTAATATATATGAGCAAGTATGAAGTTCCATCTGTCAATGCACTTGTTGAATCAGCCATTTAGTATTTCCCCTGCTTAATGCTATATTATTAATATGCTTCTTTACCCAGGAAAGCCTTTCACCCAGGCTTCTAAACTCTTTTTGAGGCAGATCATGGCAAATTTTCACAGTAGGGGGCGATGCTGATACTTGTACTTCTAAAAATGTTTCAGCATTGGGATGTTTGCCCAATATCAGTTACAATGGCCAATACCAATGACATTGCATCAGGAAACTTGAGAATCCGGAGGAAAACATAAAAACGGCTGCTTCAAATATCACTTGCTACTGATGTTAGTCGTGCAGTTAACGCAGGTTCCTATCAACATTTGTGGGATTTTTCGTTGTTCTATGGATGGACTTCTACTGCAATGGGAATGTGGAATTTCCAAAACGTGTTGATGGTTGTTAGTGCAGATGAACAGTGAATATAGCATGTAATGTTCTGCATATTCCTTCAATAGAGGTGGTCATTCATGAATTTTGTTCATTCATTCATATATTTAACTCCTTTTCTCTACACAGTTTTTAAAATAATCTTTCTGCCATAAATACGTGACCAAAAAAACCCCACATAAATTACGACAAAAAATGAATTCTACCCACGGGAAGGCATGGCCACTCTCCGATTTCATCGTCATCAATCATCAGGCATGGTCTATCCCAGGGGTGGGCACATTTTTTGACTCGCGGGCCACAATGGGTTCTAAAATTTGACAGAGGGGCCGGGCCAGGAACAGATGGATGGAGTGTTTGTGTGAACTAATATAAATGACATGTAAAAAATCATTACATGAAAGGATTTGGCCTTTAACAGGTAGCAAAGCATTTATTTGCAAGGCAATTTAACAAATTGCACGAACATGAACAATACAAAAACATGTCGTAACGTGACTGATAAAACATCATGAAAACATCTGAGGCCTGCGCCCAAATCAATTACCACACTCCCGGTCAAAGTGCGCCATCTAATGGGGAAATGGGGGCATTACAGGAGAAAGGTAATATTTAATTTAATAATAAATATTTGGACAAGTTCGGCGGGCCGGATTAAAAAGCCCAACGGGCCGTATACGGCCTGGGGGCTGTACTTTGCCCATGTCTGGTCTATCCACTGCTGGATGACGACCTCCCACATATTTCACAGTTCGCGATGCAGCAATCTATCTCGCGCCTGCAACACGGGCTCATCTCATTGCTGCACGCCACTCTCAGGCATGTGTCCTCTACTTTCGGGGCCATTGTCTTAGAAAGCTGTCCATAATACAGCTTTTTGGGGGTTAGATCGCGTACATATATAAACGCGTCGTTAAACCCGCCACCACCCGACACGGCCAATTAGTAAGGTTTGTCACTTAAACAAAATGTGCCAATTCGTTATTAGTACAGCACACCGGTGTGTTGGAGAGTAAACCCAGAACATTTACAATCTGAGTACGATGTTTCGCCAGTAATTACAACCAGCATCATCAGGTGATAGACATACTTGTGGAGACATCCTCCTGTTTCATCCTTAAATAGAGGGATAGATGTGATGACGTCACTGGTGAGCCACTCACGTGCGAAAGCCAGAGAGGAGGGGGGGTAATGCAAACACATTACAATTGGTATCCATTACCTGTTGGGTTCTTCATGTGGTGATCAACGTACATCATGCATGCGCGTTATGCATGCACATTGTTTTTGTAGAGCTCACAGGTAATCACCATCGACGTACTTAATGCCTGTAGAGGCATTACGTTAAACAGTGCATTACTTGATGATTCGCTTCCAAGCAGCATTAAGCCTGTAGCTATCCCAACGGTTGACATGATTTTTTATTTCTCTCAATTTCGATATATTATCGAATTAATCTTGGCCAGAATTAACTAGTTTTGCACAAAACTTCAACATTATAAAAAATAATTGAGTGTCCTTGTTAGCAGGCGTGTTCTGCTACTGCTGACAGTTGCATTTGGGAGTATTTCATATTTCTCTGATGTCCTTTTAGTCTCGTGCTGATCATTCGTCCTGTATGACCAACATAGCATTTGCCACAAACGCAATTAATCCGGTACACACCTTCTGTTGATAGCTTCGGTAATACATCTTTAGTACCAGATATTAGTTTCTGTATCTCATGTACTGTGCCAAATCTGACTCGGATGTTTAGTTTTTTTCCAAAAAATCTGGATAGTTTATCAGTTTTCTTTGGTTCTTTCGGTAAAGTCACGTAGAATGAGAATAAAATAATAAATTGATAAAATAAAATAACACAATAATATTCTCACGACGTTTCGGCCACAACACAAGCGGCCTTCATCAGGTGAAGGGAGCGAGACTGTCTGGTAGGACAGCGCTCATTCTACGTGACTTTACCGAAAGAACCAAAGAAGATGAATCATTGCAGTCACGAAAGCTTTAAATCGAAAGTTTATCAGTTGCTCCTGCAATATACGATATTTTTTTATAGTTTGAATCACTTGGTCAGTTTCAATGTTTGTGCTGTTTGATTTGGTTTTGGCATTCAGTGCCCTGTTGATTTGTGCAGAATTGTAACCGTTGAATTGCAGCGCTGCTTTACCATGTTGAATTTAACTTCTCAGACTATCACCATCTGACACTTTCTTAGCCCGATGTATGAGCATGTTGATGAGAGAGGATTTCTGTGCGAAGTGATGGTGTGACTCTGCATTCAGATAGGCGTCAGTGTGCGTTTTATTTCGGTAAGGGCTATGTTGTTAGTTTACCGTTTCGGCCGCGCCCGACCAGAATATCCAGAAATGAAGAGTTCTGTCAACTTCCACTTCCATGGTGAACTGGATGGACGGGTTTTGCGAGTTGAGATTTTGATAAATTCGTTAAGTGTATATTTGCCTTATGGCCAGATCACCAATGTGTCATTCACATCCGGGCCGTCCATAAATGACGTCACGCGATTTTGAACGATTTTTGACCCCCCCCTCGTCACACAGCGTCACAAAAAGTCAGACTCCCCCTCAAATATGACGTCACAAAGCTATGCTCCCCCCCCCCCCCAAACCATATTTCCATTTTGAAAATAAAACATGCTTCAAATCACTTTAAACTATTGCCATTGTAGTGCGTATTTAATGTGGCGCTGCACTCTGATGTTGTAGGAGAAAACACGTATTAAAAAGTAGGCTTTGGAAAGCTTAAATTTAGCATAAAATTCACTTGAAAATATTCAACGTCTAACTAAAACTGCAGATGTTCAGAATATTACATTGAAATTATCTTATAATTATTAAATATTAAAAGTAATTACAACGTAAGAAATACTTGAAACTTTGTAGTAGAACGAAGCAAAATGGAGAGTACAATTATAACAATCATATATTTATTTCACAGAATGAAAAGCCCCAGTAGAATCATTAGAATCAAAATGTTTAATAACAATCATTAAAAAAATTTTCAAAATGTATGTTTCTACATTCTCTCATGGAGAAGCAAAATGCTCCTTCATGGAATAAATAAAAGGTGACCTTAGTAAATTTAAATAATCAAATAGTTAATAATGAAAATTAATCAAAATGAGTGTTGTTATAACAATTCTATATTTATTTAAATTTGCGCATTTTGATGTGACGTCACATTTCTCAACCCCCCCCCCCCCCTCGTCATACATCGTCACAAATATCTGACCCCCCCAGGTGCGTGACGTCATTTATGGACGGCCCCATATCTAAACCAAGCTATGTATGTATATCCTTAGCTCTTTCGGTAAAGGAAAGTCACGTTGAAGGGAAACAATAAAATAATAAAATCTATATAAAACAATAAAATTCTCACGACGTTTCGACCATAACACAAACGGTCGTCATCACCTGTGTGTTATGGTCGAAACGTCGTGAGAATTTTTATTGTTTTATATATATTTTATTATTTTATTGTTTCCCTTCAACGTGACTTTACCGAAAGAGCTAAGAATATGAATTACTGCAGTCACGAAAGCTTTAAATCTATGTATGTATGTTTAACTTTTTTGCGCATCGTACGTTGTAGACAATCATGCTAATCGGAGGTGCGGCGAAACCAGATGATGGACAGGCAAGGCTTTCATCCAGCAGTGGATGGTCCACGGCTCACGATCATGATGATGACGTTGAATATATGATTGTGATGATGAATGGTGATGATGGTGACGATGATGACGACGATGACACTGATGACAATTATGATCATGATGACAGTGATGGTTGCGGTAATGGCGACGATGATCATAATGTATCCTGCCTAAGACCCCATGAGAGTCAATATGATGCCGCTAACGTGAGTATTTTCTCCGATCCATCTTCTCCTCTTAAACCACAGTGTGCAGGGCTTAATTCCTCCTTGGATATTTTTTTAAAGAATTTTGCTGGGCTGGATCGGCATAAGGCACTACCACTAGTATCCACAATAAAGTAATCTATTACTCTTCTTTGGTTCTTTCGCTAAAGTCACGTAGAATGAGAATAAAATAATAAATTGATAAAATAAAATAACACAATAATATTCTCACGACGTTTCGGCCACAACACAAGCGGCCTTCATCAGGTGAAGGGGACGAGACTGTCTGGAGGACAGCGCTGGAGTGAGAAAGCCAAATCGAAATTTAGTCTATTACTGTTATTATTAATACTCTAAATTCGTATTATAATAATACTGAGAAGAACGGGTCAAAGACAAAATAAGGCGAGATGGATGTTGCGTGCCAAATGAATTCCTGGAACAGCGTTCCGCACTGTTCCGACTGAAACGAAGCACTGAACGTACACGGTCACAGATAACAGGTACACCCCATAAATCATCGACCTCTGTTCTGTTCCGATTGCGTGGGCTGTCTGGTGGAGAGTGAGTGACGTGACGTGGCTCGCTGAGCGGCTGGAGGTTGGGAGGTGGGGGCCTCCCTCGGCTCTCGCTATAAATACCAGCTGGAGCCGGCCTCTCTGTTCACTTGTTGCGCTCGTGTCGGCTACAGTTCCACAATCGCGCGCGCGCACACACACACGCACGCGCGATTAATTACATAAGCCTTCACGCACATACCTTATCAAACACACCATACGTAGATCCGGCACCTGCGATTAACATAGGTTGGCTACATACGGCGCGAAATCAGATAAACATAATATTTCTTCACACACATATATACCGACTCACACACATAGTCGCAGCACACTTACTTAAAAAATCACAGACAGGTATATTCATAATCACACACAGGTATCTACATAACATCCCACATACATACACACAAGGTGCCTGCATAATCACACACACACACACTTGGCACGCACCCTACGTGGCCTTACACACAACGCACGCAGCTAACCGGCATAATCTAACGCACACGGGGACCTACGTAAACACTCACACGTGGGAGCCGCATCAAACAACACAGGGGCGATAGCTGCACACGGCAGCCGCACTCAACCGCACGCATGAACGCTCACGCTAACAAAACCATGGACAGCGGCAGCGGGAGCTCCAAGTCCGCCCTCGCTAACGGCTTCTCAGCAGCGGCGCAGGAGGATGAGGAAGACGGCGTGAGAAGCGACGAGGGCACTCTGCCTCCTCCTCCTCCTCATCCTCTCGTCCTCCCTGCGGGTCACTCGGAGCGCACGAACGGACTGCAGGCGGTGCCCGCTCCAGGGCGCGTCGCGCACGCAGCCCCAGCGACGGCGTTGAGGCAGCTGGAGGTCGCCTACACGGGCATCCTGCGGGGCATCGGGGAAGACCCGGGCAGAGAGGGGCTGCTCAAGACGCCCGGTAGGGCAGCCAAAGCCATGCAGTTCTTCACCAGGGGTTACCACGAGAGGCTCGCGGGTGAGTTGAGTTGGGGTTGTTTTTTTTTGCGCTGCGCATTTGTGAGGCTGTAACGCCCGTCTGTTGCGCTTTGGCCGTGAGTGGAAATCGAACTCGGGCGCCGGGGTGGTCAGGCTCGCTTGCGTTGAATGCTACGCGACGCCGCTCTCCGTAAACAGACTGGATGTACGAATGCCGAACTTCTTTCACAGCACCGCACGAAACCAACCGCGCTAATCGGAAGTGAGGGGGAAGGACAACAAACTAAACACAAAGAGCAGTTCGAAAGATATTCGTTGTCAAACTGGAGCAGGTTCTGTTAGCGAACGCTAACAGAATCCATGTTGAATAAGGCAACCCATGAATAGGCATGGGCCAGGGGCTCTCTTATCTCTTTAATTTGATATCTTGTTCATTTTAAAAATGTATAACATGGTAAAAAAAAATGGGCCTATGACCAAATCACCCATTGTGTGGCCGATCTCGTTAGATCTCGGAAGTGAATCAGGCTTGATTCTGGGTAACATCTAGATGGGTGTCCACCATGCACAAAAGCAGGCGTCTGTGGAGATCAGAAATCAGAACATGGATTTATACTGGAAGAGTCCGATGAGCTATAAAGCTCTTTTTCACAGATGTCCAGTAAGATGCGTCGGAGCTACATTGTAAGCACCGCAAAATCCATTGTACTTCGCCATGCTCCCTGTCATCACCAACCCGCACTGACCAGTACGGTGAAGATGCTCACCCCGAGCCCTCATTACTATGATAGTGCATTGTCTTTGAGCTGCGCGCCTTTTGGCGTCCTCTGGTCTAACACCGTTTGAGACGAGGCTCAAAAGAAAGCTATCTCTGGCGTGGACCAATCAGTTTCAAAGACAATGCATATATTATCAGAGTACGTTTTTTTGTTTGCATTCTGACCACAAGCATTGTGGTTAATGCAGAGAGGCTTCCTCGTAAAAGGTTTCAGTTTGGTGTTTTAACATCTCAACACCTGTTTTGTCGCCAGAAAAAAGGGGAAAACCCCTATGATCGCATATTAAGGTCGGCCAACGCCACGCTCTGCTGCCTTCGCGTCCCCAGCGATTAATGGTCACAAGCAACAGCGAACGCAGTGCCCATACAAGACGAGGTCGACCCTAGGGGAGGCTCAGGACCGTTTCAGATATTCCTCGCCAGTATTGGCCCCCGTGAGCGGGAATCCAACTCGGCGACGAACCTGGCGACCCGAGTTCGATTCCCGCTCACGGCTGAGCATGTCCCCACGTCGACTCAGCCTGAAATGAGCACGTGATACGGTGCGTTAACATCAGTCCGGGGGAGACGGGGGACAGCCGAGCGATGTTAACTAACTTCGCTTGGTGCGCAGGAGGCAGTGGGTTCGATCCGGACCCTGACGCCTGCATTTTCTCCGCGTAGTCGCGTGGATTTTTCTCCGAGTCCCCGGGGGTTTTCCCGCTGCATTTAGAAACATGCGTTTTAGAGCATTTGGTTGCTATACATTTCCACATGGTAAGACACTTCGTTGAGCTGTCATTTGTGGCCAGGTCGCTTCTGAAAAAGAACTTTACAGTATAGCTCAGTGGACCTTACCTGGTAAAATGAAAATAGCTTAGTTTATAGTTTGCCTGGCCTCACCACTCGCTCGTGCCGACCTTATTACTGAACACACTGCAGCACTTGCGTCTGCTGTGCGTTCAGTATTTGTGGGTCTCGATGGCAGGTCACGTAACAATCATAAACGTGCCTTCATTTACGTTGATTGACGACGCATCATTGCACCCTCTCAGAGTGGGGTTTGGTATGCAAGTGAATATAATAAAATGAACACATGAATGTGTGTCAGAGGGGACTTGATGTGTCGGTGCGTGTGCGTGTCCTGCCAGCGAGATTTCGTCACTCCACGTGGACTCAAAGTGCACCCATCCTGACACCAAGCGCCATGGTGACGTGGGCCACCTATTGGTGGCGCGTGCGTGCGTGTGTGTGTGAGAGTGATTGTGCGTGTGAGATTGTGGGGAGCGGTAGTGTGGTGGTTAGTGCGCAGCGATACGAACCCGGCCAACCGAGTTCGATTCCCGCTCACGGCCAGCACCAATGACGATTATTTTAACTGGTGCTGGTTCGCCCCTCGGTACTCGAATGAGTACCTAGTGCGGTGTGCAAACATCAGCACTGGGGAGACAAAGGCAGCCGGGCGTAGTACTGGCCACACTCCCCTTCATAGGTGCTCGCTAACAACACTTGTCCCAAGCATATGTTAAGGCTATACAGGCGAGCTTTGTCTTTGTGTGAACTTGTGTGAATGTGAATGCAGACAGCCGTTACCCCCGCAGTCTATTAAAACGTATTTGTGAATACAATGTGATAATTAATGAATGTATGAGCGTTGTGAGTCAGTGAACATGCATGAGTGTGAAAGTGTGAATGGGCACGTGGGGGCAACGCGGTGGCATTTGAGAGAATCTACGCGCAAGAGTGAATTCAAGTGTGATCGTGAATGCGAGAGTGTGTGTTTTAATGTGCGCCCGAGTGAATTTACAAATGATCGCACGTGATTTTTTTCCGGATAATTGCACATGCGTGAGAGTGAGCGAGTGAATGAGTGTGTCAGGGTCTTTGTGTGCGCGTAGGTGTTAAGACATTGCCGTAATCTGGGACGCAGTGGTTAACGTACTTAAATTTGGAATTAACAATCACTGAAGAATACTTTAAGAAGTAGGATTAATTTATTCAAATTGCTTTAGGTTGAGTAACATCCATTTTTCTAAACCAGACGTTTTTATTATTCTCCTCCTTAACAATGCACTTCCATCAGCATCCTGATTACAGCTGTCTGATTGGATTTAATTAGTGGTCAACACACTGTGTCGCCGCTCTCCCCCACACCTAAGTTAAATACCATCAGCATCGAGCGATTCCTGATGTGATGATGTACTTCTCTTTAGCAGTGGATAGAGAAAAGTGATTAATTATATGATATTGATTATAACCATTTACGAACTGTAGCCTGGAGTCTATAAGTGTGAGTAAACGGCTATACAGGTAATAAATTATTACCAATATTGACGATCGTTCCGTATCCAGTGAGCCAAGCAGCCAACTTAAACCTGCTCCGAATATCTGCAAACAATGAAACGTCAAGTAAACAACTGTCCACTGTTACCTAATTCCCTGAAAACAACCCTGAAATGTCACCGCATCTGCTGAAGCTCCGGGACTGGATATCAAAACTTAATGTCACACTTAATGTCACACATATCTTGATATTCCTCCATAGGATATCATTAGCATCAGCACCGCCATCATTCAAGTGCTGTGTAGCAACATATATCACCAGTGACATTTACAAACGGCTATTTGTACTGTATACGTATGTCTGCCTGGCATTCATGCCATGCAGTCTGCAGTGTTATCAGTTGTGATCGTTCAGGAAGGCCAGTGCATGTTTACTGATGGAAGAGCTCAGAGACCATGGGGTTATGAGGAAAAAAACCCCACAAATGACACAGATGTACACACTGAAGCTTCCAGACAAAGGCACGTGTAACTTGACCGCTAGCAATGTAATAACAACAGTAAAAGATTATTTGAGGAAATGACAGCACAAAAATTGCAGCAAAATATAATTATGGCCAGGGAGAGGTTCACTTAAGAGTCATCTGATTGGTTTAACACGTCAACCAATTTGATATGAGACCAGGCTCTTTTCAATAGAGATCTACTGGAAAATGTAAGCATAATTGCGCAAACATCAGTTGTATAAGATCCAGTAAATATATATGCTAGCAGGCTCACAATTGGTGAAATAAATGACCTTAAATCAAGATTTTACAGGGTGGACCAAAACTCAGGACACATAGGGTGATTATTGTTTTTTTTTTACAAATCACATAAGGTTATTTCATGCACGAATTCTCACCAATTACATTTTGTCTCAATTCATTCAGGGTACTTGGTCGAGTTTTATAAACGACAGGTTGGAGGTGACCCCACAGGAAGAATGAGAGAGTAAACATTAATAATGACAACGGATGCAATATTAACTTAAAGAATGAACAATAATATTTTAACAATGGCATTGTTAAAATATAACAATGGGTCTTATATGAGATTATATCCAAACCTCCAGTGTTATTCACCCTCTCACGCGTCGCACGCTTCGCGGTAGAGTGAGCGGCTCGCAATTGTAAAGATTGTGAATTCAAATCGTTATTGTTGGTTGACTCAATCCATCACCCCTCTCGGGTCCATAGAACGAGTACCACATTGTATTCAAGTCAACAGCGGTTGTCCTGTGGAGAGACGCGTTCCTACTATAGGAATGTGGAATTTCGGTGTTTATTTGGCACCGACAATCACCAGGGTTTCATTAAAGAAGGATTAACTTATTTAAAAAATGTATATGTTATTGCATCCATCAGCATCCTGATTACAGTTGTCTGTGATTGGATTAAATTAAACATTTTGATTTAAAGCTTTCGTGACTGCAGGGATTCATATTCTTAGTTATTTCGGTAAAATCACGTAGAAGGGAAACAATAAAAGAATAAAAAAAATATAAAAAATATAAACAAAATTCTCACGACGTTTCGACTGCAACACAAGCAATCATCATCAGATGTGAAAACCACAAGAAAATTTGTGTTGGTTGCAGTCGAAACGTCGTGAGAATTTTATTGTTTCATATTTTTTATTATTTTATTGTTTCCCTTCTACGTGACTTAACTGAAAGAACCAAGAATATGGATTTAATTTATTACGTGGAACTTCCTTCTTGTTCATTCACTGTCTCGTAAATATATGTCCTTTAAATAGACAATAATGTTTACGTAGGAACAGTGCAGCCAAAGGCCTTTGAAATATTTTCCAAGACATATCCTGCAACGATTAAGACATGCAGACACATTTTTTTGACAAACCTCTGAATTCCACTGAGGTGGCGTGACATTTGAAGCAATTGGCGGGACCCCGGGGTCCCATCACTGCCCCGGGGTGGGAAAAACCGCGTAGCGACA